CGGCAGGGGACGGCCGTACTAGCTGCTCTAGAGACCTCCGTGGAGGTCACGAGCCTCTTAGCACCACTACGTTTCCGGGCGGTAACTGAGAGAAGCACTCGCCAGAGACCACTGCGCCCTGGAACACTGGCAGGGTTGGCAGACTGATCTCCAGAGGGCACTGAGGAGAGACGGGCAAAAATGACGGTCCTCAGACCCCGCGTCATCTGCTAGGAAGACTCGACTGATAGAACCAGAGCCTGCTCAGGGCAGGACCCAAGGAGGCACGCTTGGCAGGGGCTCCCACACCGCCAGGTGACATACTAAGGGAACCAGTCTCACGAGACTGGCCTCTGGTGCACTTAGAGTGACTAGCTCGGTGCCCTGAAGTGGTGAACCGGCAGGGGACGGCTGTACTAGCTGCCCTAGAGACCTCTGTGGAGGTCGCGAGCCTCTTAGCACCGGTACGTTTCCGGGCGGTAACTTAGAGAAGCGCACGTCGGAGACCGCTGCACCCTGGAACACCGGCAGGGTTGGCAGACCGATCTCCTGAGAGCACTGAGGAGAGACGGGCACCGTATAATGAGGTGTACACTGCTCTTCCCCAGAGGGGGCCGGCCCTCAGAAGTCCTGGGCCCTAGGCATCAGGATGTTTCTTCCCCAGAGGGAGCTGGCCCTCACAAGTCCTATAGGCGTTAGGCGTCAGGGCATTTTAGACGGAGACTATCCAGCGAGAATGACGGTCCGCAGAAGCGCCTTCCACTAGAAGCCTTCGGCCTGGGAGCGCCACTCTGACTCTAGACTCTGCGGAGTACGAAAAGTGACGCCCCCAGAATGAGGAGCTGGAACACGGTAGGTTGGGACTGGTCCCGCTCAGCAGCCCCTGCTGACCGCCTCACCCTCCTCAGAGGAAGAGAGGTAAACAGGTGCTCTTACTCGAGAAATTTTTATCCCAAGAGCCCCTGTATATCTAACTTCTCATAGTCAGATACATTCTTCATTTTATTCCTCAGAATTAAATGCAATCAAACAACCAGAAGAAAGGGCGAGCCGTCTCCAACCCATCCGCTAGATCCACGTGCGATCTGAATCGCCGCCGTGCCTCAGCAATAGCGGGACCGAACCGCAAGCTCGCAAGCACGGACACACTCCTCGGAGCGTTCAGCGGGGAGAAGCACAATCAGCCCTTTATTTCCAAGAGCTGACTGCGCGAGCTCCGCTCCCCAGTAAATGCTGCTCATAATAATATAGACATAATGCTTGTGCGACTG